CGTGCCAGTAATAACGCGGGGCGGCGATGAATTGTGTCTCTGTTCCAACGTTCCAACCCCATCCCCTCCCGAGCGGCGCTGCCTGGCTGCCTGGCTGCCACCAGCTTGAACATCGCACGCCCCCATCGCCATTTTACAGCGAATCCGAACGACCAAAGCAGTAAAGCAGCCTCGACCTGCACAGTTAAATCGTGTAACTCCAATGAAATCTTTGTAGACGGATGGACGGATAGATAGATAAGTGGATGGAAATGACATCGAACAGCGTCTGCCGCCGCCTCCTCGCCCGCAAGGCCTCAGCCCCACCCCCACCCCTCGGCCTCGGCGCGTGAGATCAGTTCCGCCGCAGTTAACCTTAATAACGAACTAAGTCGCACACCCCATTACAACAATAGTCAACAATAATAAAACTAATTGGTCAAAAAGATGAGCCGGTCGTGGCGCCATAAACGAGATTGGTCCAATGGGCGCGCTGCGCTGCAACACCCACACCGCCGGCGTAGACGCGCACCCCCATCAGCGCAGCGAGGGGCCCCGCCATGGCCCCGCCACCATGGCCCCGCCACCATGGCCCCGCCACCATGGCCCCGCCACCATGGCCCCGCCACCATGGCCCCGCCACCATGGCCCCGCCACCATGGCCCCGCCACCATGGCCCCGCCACCATGGCCCCGCCACCATGGCCCCGCCACCATGGCCCCGCCACCATGGCCCCGCCACCATGGCCCCGCCACCATGGCCCCGCCACCATGGCCCCGCCCCCCATGGCCCCGCCACCATGGCCCCGCCACCATGGCCCCGCCACCATGGCCCGCCACCATGGCCGCCACCATGGCCCCACCATGGCCCCGCCACCATGGCCGCACCATGGCCCCGCCACCATGGCCCCGCCACCATGGCCCCGCCACCATGGCCCCGCCACCATAGCCCCGCCACCATGGCCGCCACCATGGCCCCGCCACCATGGCCCCGCCACCATGGCCGCCACCATGGCCCCGCCACCATGGCCCCGCAGAGCCGGCAAAAGCGCACCACAAAAACCCCCCGCGCACCCTTTCCCACACGATGACAAACCTGGCCCCCCGTGCATTCCCCCCGCGTCCATGCACGTCCCCGTCGACGGCGCCCCGGGCGCCGCATGTCGCGTCGCGCCCTAAGCCGCCGCCAGGACTGCCAGGCTGCAGGCCGAGCACTGCTTTTGTGGCGCTGTCTCTCTCGCACCCTTACGGGGCGCCCCATGAGTGCGAGAGAGACAGAGCGACGATAGCACTCGGAATCAGCCTGCAGGGACGCAGGCAGCAAGAAGCGAGCCGCTTGATGCATCTCCGGCATCAATAACAATATCGCCGCGACGAGGTGTAACTGACTCCACCCATCACGCGAGCGAGGCGCAAGGCGCGCAAGGCGCGGGGGGGACCTTCGCGAGATGAAAAATACAGGCGCGGCGCGGCGTGAGGGATTCCGCCGGCCGACATAGGTCAAGCCACACTGCGCGCGATGAAAATGAAAATTAAATGCCCAACAATAAAGGACGCGGGCCCGGCCAAGAAGGGCTCGGCCTCCGCGGCCTCGGCCGACGGCACGGCGACAGCGGGCGAGGCCGGGGCGAGCGAGGAGCGAGGCCAGGCCGCGGCGGCGTCTGATTTCTTTTGAGAAAGGTCATAAGAGCTATCGTGGTAAATGGCCGTCCGAGTCGCCCTTAATTACGCTTTCGGAACAAATGAGAGCGAGTTCGAAAAGCTTCATCCATTACGCTGCAGACGGCTTGGCCGCCCCCGGCCGCCCCCTCCCCCTCGAGCGAGACGAGAATACGTTTGGCCATTTTTTCCCTGTGGCAAAACGGGGAGGAATGCTCAAGTTCCGAAACGTTTCGAAGGCAGCAGCAGCAGAAGCAGCCAAGCGATGATTGCCCGCCGACAGGCCAGCGTTGCCAGCGAGGATGGGCGCCTGGAAGGTAGGCAGCCCATCGTGCCTGCCTCTGCGTGGTGCTGCCTACCCGGGCGGCTGTTATGCTGCACTGCACAGCCTGCACAGATTGGAGTGTCACTCCAGCAGCCCTGGACCAGGACGCGGCGCTCGCAACGCGTCCTTTGCCGTTGCTGGCAAGACGGCAAGGCGGTAAGGCACTACCAAACCACTTATTTGACTGTTATTTTTTATTTTTTTCCCGGGCGAGGCACGGAAACAGTGGCGTGCTTTTTGCGGCCGCGGAGGGAAATGGTGATGGTAATGATCTTATTTCCCCCCGTTCGTTCGAATCCGTCTTTCTCGAGCAGTGCCAGGCAGTGCGCTGGCATTTTGAATTATCATCGGTACACTTTGCATCACGTGGCACGACAGCCCGTCAGCCCGGCTCCGTCCTCCGTCCACCCATTTCCATGTTTTTGCTGGTCGGAATGACGCTGCAGCGGCGGCGGCCCGGACCTGGACCCGCTGGATTCTGAGAGTCGTTTTCGTCGCTCTGTCTCTCTCGTGCCTTTACGAGACGCCCCGTGAGGGCGAGAGAGACTGAGCGACGGAAACGACTCTCTGAATCAGCCTGCCGGCCGGAATCGGGATGAGCAAGCCAGGAAAGGCGCCGGGCGGAGACGGAGACGCAGACGCCACGCGGCGCCTCACCGGCCGACTAGACCGACCAGACGGCCGACGGGCTCACTCCGAGAGGTCTCTCTGTCTCCGTCGCACTCGTGGGGCGGCCCGTAGGGGTGCGAGAGAGACAGAGCGACCAAACGGCGGCCTTTGCGCGGCAGTCCTTCCTTCCTCGCCGTTTTTATTCCGTACTGTCTTAATCCAATTCCCACTGACTCATTTGACTTGCTTTGTCTTTGTCTGTCATTGGCGGGCCCGAGCTTTTTTGGGGGCCTCGTCGGTAACGAGTGGGGCACCGCGGCCGGCCCCCCGGGGCCGACGCCGTCCCGTGTAAAAATTTTCTTTTAAAACCTTTTGGGAATTGGGCCTGAATGGGGTCAAAGGGAAAGACAGCGACAAGACCTTTTCCCCCGGGTTTCCCGGGGGAGGGTTTTCAATGGATCAACTGCGGTCAGATGGATAAGGCACCCCAGAGGCAGCCAAAAGGCCCTGAAAGTGTCTGATTTTCCGTCTGAAAACGCCGGGGCAGGCGTCTAAAAGTGGCCCTTTTTCCAGGTGCCATTCCGACTGGTTTCAACCGGATTCAGACCGATTCATGAGGGTGCATGAAAAAAAGGGAAAACCGAGAGGGCCCCGCTCGGACCGGAGTCGAACCCCACGCACAGAGCGTAGATTCCCCCTCTCACCCTGGGCCAGAGCGACGAGATAGGAAGGGTGGGGCACGCGCGCTCTAGCGCCAGCCGGACAGCGCCAGATCGCACTGTTGTCTGACCCTTAGAGAGGTATTCGTATGCATGCAGTCTGGAAATTTTCGACATGTATAAACAAGCGCTTAAAGCCCCGCCGCTTTAAAATTAGGGGGTCACGAGTCGGAAACAAAAGGGGGGAAGTGTCGCTGTCGACTTACCTGAAGACAACAGTGCTGCACTGGCGCTGTCCGGCGGCGCTATGAGCTGCGCGTGCCCGACCCTTCCATACTCGTCGCTCTGGCCCAGCGGTGAAGTGCGACTTCTCGCTCTTTGCGTGGGGTTTTGACTCCCCGGGCCGAGCGGGCCCTCTCTTTTACCCCTTTTTTTCCTGCACCCTCATGAATCGGTCTGAATCCCCGGGCTGAATCCCCTCGGAATGGCACCCGGAAATGACCACTTTTTAGACGCCTTCACGGCCGTTTTCAGACGGAAGTCAACACTCTTCCGGGGCCCTTTTTAGGCTGCCTCTGGCGTGCCTTTTCCATCTGACCCAGTCTGAATCCTATAGGGGCCCCGAAGACAGTAAACCCCCCCCAATCCCAAGCGTACCCCCCCCTTTCCCGCCTTTCTTTCCCACCCCCCCGCAGCGAGCTAAACATTCGGCGTAGGGACGGCGCGGGGGTTTGGGGGGTAGGGAGGGGGGTAGAGGGGGGCGGGTCCCCGCTATGCCTGTGCTGGGGGAAATCTAACTCCTGCGCGGTGGGTTTCGGGTTGGTGCGGGAAGGGGTGGGGGCTCTGTCTTCTGGGCCCTATCAATCCCCTCGGAATCTCGGGGGAAACGGTCTTGTCGCCCGTCTTACCGTTCCCGACCTCATTGGGCCCAAATTTCCCACGGTTTCATGAAATTTTTTTACACGGGACGTCCTCCACCAGCAGCTCGTATTACGTAACGCTGCGCCTGAAGAAGCATCTCAATCCGGGCAATTTGGTTTCCCTTTCCCCCCCCCCCCACCCCCAAAAAACCATTCCAACCCAGCCTGCAGCCTTCACACTTCCAGTGGGCACGCGTTCCAGATGGCAACTACGTGTTGTTGAAAGGAGTGCGAGACTGCGAGGAACGAATTGGCATTGGTCATTCCCGCCGCTGCACAGTGGGCCAGAAACCGGCGGAGGCGGCCAAAACTCTGGACGCGTTTTGAGCTCCAGAGTCGCTAAATGGGACTCGAACCGACCGTGTGACCCCACCAATGGACTGCTCTCCGGACGAGGAATCCATTGGTGGGGTCACACGTTCGGTTCGAGTCCTGTTTGGCGACTCTGGAGCTCAAAACGCGTCTAGAATTTTGGCCGCCTCCGCCGGTTTCTGGCCCACTGTGCGCTGTCTGAGCAGTCTGCGCGCCTCGGGTTGAAATTGGCGCCAACGCGACTGCCACGCCACGCCACGCCACGTCTGCGGCGCCGCACGCGCAACGCCGGCAACGCGCAAGGCTGTGACGAGCTCCATTGTCAAATTCTAATAATGGCTCCCACTGTGCTTGCATGCTTGCAGCGCTTTCTTCACTGAGGTCCGCTTTAAACACATGTTGATATTCAAATGTATGCACGGCAACGGGAAGGGTAGGGAAGGGACGGGAACGGCATCGGGGCGGTTATTTGTGTCCGTTGCCGCGCCGAGCGCGTCACGCCCCGCCACCAGGACGGTTGACGTTTTCATTGGTCCGTCTAGGCGGACCGGTGCATTTGCGCTTTCGAGTATAGTTTGCTCGGGACTTTGTTTTGTGGCGATGTGTTGACGGAGCAGCTCACTAGGTTAACAGAGTTGTTTTATTTTCAGCCTGTTAGTCGACCCGAAGAAGCCGTCCTTTAACCATGGGGATCCTCATATCAAGATTCAAGGTGAAATATTGTGTGAAATCTATGAATTTATAATGCGGTTGAGGGTTAGGGCGCACCTACCATCTGGACCCTAATCACTTTGTCGTCTTTTCTGAGACATGCTTTGTGGCAATAGTTGAATTTTACTGGGCTTAATGGAGTGACAAGGCATTGTTCCCTGATGACAAAGCACTACTTGTCAAAAGTATTGGTGTTGTTTCTAACTCAGCTGCCACTGGTTGTGTAACACTCACCACCATACATTATAACATTTCATTCAAACCCCCTTTGCTACATTAGAGTCCATTTCTCAATGCGGAACTTAAATAAAATCTGATAAACAGAAAATATATCAGTCACAACTTATTGATGACTCATGTGTCCTGATCATTTCACTTTTAACTTCGCTGTCTTGTTTTCAATCAATCTTTTTCCTCTTGCAGCGGAAGAAGACCACGCTAGAGATTCTAGAAAAGCTTGAGAAAGTGAGTAAACAAGAAGATATTTTATTTGATTCTTTCGTGCAGTTTGGATTAATTTATTTCTATCGTTATGTTCTAGGATATTACTGACATTGAGAGGTACCGAACAAACACAGAACAAAGACAACGTCGAATCGTTGGTCAACTAATTGTGTATTCTGTGGGTGCTTATGTACTAGCTGCTGCTATATTTTATTTTTACTGGTTTCCAAGCACCCTACGAGAACAACTTATTTGTGTTGCTCCCTTGCTTCTCTTTCCTATTTTGTAAGTTACATTTTGATGTGAACCTTGGATTAGTGGTTTTAAGGTGCAGGTTTTAAGAATTTTGGGTTGTAGGGTCATATTTCTGAAGAGAATAGTGACGTTTTATTACTCACGGAAAATCACTAAAAATGAACAGAAGTTATCTGACTTGCGAGCTGACAAGAAACAAATTCTTGAAGATGTCATGGATAAAGAGACATACAAAGTTGCTCGCACCATTTTAGAGAAGTTTGCTCCTGAGCAGTTAAGGTCCAAAGGGATGGTAAGTTTTCAGATTAAATTTCTGTTTCTGTTTTTCCTTGTGATGGTAACTGTGCCTTGAGAATGTTTTTTGTGCTCCAGGAACAACACTTAACCCCCATGAAACCAAATCAAGTTAAAGGTCCTCAGAATTCTGCTGTGAGACCAACACCGCTTCAATCGTCAACACCTGTTCGTCCTGTGCCTCCCGGTGTTGCCCCTTCAGAATTGCGAAGGCGGACCTTACCCTCAGCACTGGGTAACCCAGGTACCAATGTGGGACCTCCTTCCTCACTTTCATCAGAGTCTCTTTCTTCTGCTGCTCTGCAGCGTTCTCAGTTTCTTTCGGGTACTCCAGTACACAGGCCCTCAGTCAATGGACAGAGTTTCTCTTCTGATTTCCGTAAGCATGGATAGTGTTTGAAATTATGCCTTGAGGTCTTTTAAAGACCTGCGATAAGGTGTGAACTCAATGAGGTATTTTTCATTCTAGGTCCACCTGGTCCACCTTTGCCTCGACCTGTTCTTCCAAGGGAGCGCACTTATTTTGAGCGTGTTGTTGAATATGTAGTGGGGGATGGTCCAGCAAATCGTTTTGCTCTAATTTGTTCCTCATGTGATTCTCACAATGGAATGGCTTTGAAGGAGGAGTTTGAGTATCTACGTGAGTATTCATACTCTAAGATTAAGGTCTTTTCCTTGCAGATTGAATTTTGAGTTATTGAGTGGAACTTATTTCTCTCCTGCAGCTTTCAGATGTTGTTACTGTCATTATTTCAACCCAGCACGCAAGCAGCGTCCTCAGGCACCTCGCCTGTCCCCTATATCTGGCCTCAAGAGTCAAGGACTCGGGCAAAATTCAGTGAACACAACTAAAAATCCTGAAACTTCAGAGTCAGAGAAAAATAGTGGTTCTGATAGTAGCAGTGATGAAGGTAAGTGCTATACCAAGTGTTGTCTCTTTGTCTCAGCTTGCCAAATTTTTGTGATTGGTAAGATTTTAATTAATGCTAACTTATCTTGATAGATTCAGGACCTGAGCTTCTTCCAAAAGATGAAGCGGACATTCGAAAAACAGAGCAAGGTAACACTTTTTGTTTGGAACCTCCCAGTAGTTTAATAAACTCATTTCAAATACTTAAAACTTTTACATCTGTTGCAGGCACTGAAAATAAAGAAGAGACAACTCTTGATAGAGAGGCAGAAGAGTTTCTAAGCAAGCTTGCAGGTAAGATAAGTCTTGTGTTGGGTTTTCTCTATTTTGAGTCAAATTTGCATGATTTTGTCTCACCTATTATTATGTGGTATTTCAGAAAGAGAGAAAGTTGATGAAGAGAGTGCAACAGCATCTACAAAAGAGGATTAAAATTTATGTGTATCAAACTGACTCTGTTTTTTACAACTTTATCGTTGAGGTATGTAAGCAAGTTTCAGCAAAATTTGCAAACTGTTTATCTTCTCTCTATGAAATTTGATGTTGATGTTTTATTTGTGATTATATGTGAGAGTTTGGCTTAGCACTTAATTTGCTTTATAAATTTCCCTCTTGTAATTTTATTTGTGTAACAAATTACGCTTGTATTATACAATTTTAACAATACAAGAGAAAAGAACAAGGTAGTCTCCTGTTCTAGCCATGTGTACGACACCAAACTGTCTCGCAGTATTTTTGTATTATTGCTTCAGGCAAGTTTCCTCTGTAGGTAATTTATCCTCCATGGTCTCTCAACTTGTATACTGTCCATATGGAACCTTTCAGATTTTGAGGATCTCTTTTGAGTGTTTCCTTCTACTGAATTGTATTGTAGATCCCTTCTTTTGGTGTTCAGCTTAAGTGTTCATTTTAGGCTTCTGCAATTGTAACCCATATATGTGCAGGTGGAAGAATCTCCATCACTTCTCTGTTCATATAGAACACTGTTAATTCTGATTGCTTAAAACCTGCTATATTATATTTTAAACTCAGTGATTGTGGAATCCCTTCCTCCTTTGAATTTGGGCTTGTTACCAGCTAGATTGCAATAATCTTGTGTCAAGTTATCTTGACTTTTCTCTCACATAGTATATTGAAAGATTATCTGACACATTTTTACTATGATGCGACTCTAGCTTTGGTCTTGGAATGGTTCCATTTGAAATCTCTTCTTGAAGTGGAGGGTCTCCATAATTACTCTTTAAGGTTATTATGATGCTGTCAATTTGTGGGGTCTATTAATTTATTTTTCTGATTATTTTAAGTTTTATACTTAGTAATTCCTCTAAGTGCCTTGACTGTATTGTAATCCTTGAACATATTTGCTAATCTAGTCACTGTGCAGACCCTACCTCTTAAAAATGCCTAATCTTCTTGTGATTGTGTTAAATGTAAATGTTTTGTGTCCAAAGCCATTGGCTTTGATTTCCCTTTTCAAAACTGTTTAGTTTGACATTTTTTTCTATCTTGATTAATTTGATAAAATTAAAATTGTTATGTGTTCCCTCCCAGCCTACCTTTAATTTTAATGTCTTAAGAGATCTACTAACTTCCTTATTTGCAGTGAGTGTTATCTATCACACAGTTTTGTTCAGATGTGATCTTTGTTTATTTGACGTTGACCTGTATCAATTGTGGCTTTACACTTAGCAGCTTTTTGCTTTTGAATTAGGTAGGGTTGTTGGAGTCAATATTCATAGAGCAATGTTTACCATTGAGACTGATGATTATTCCCTGTTTAGTGGTTGAAAATATGTGCCAAGAAAAATTATTCCCTGAGGGATGGAAAAATTTTAACTAGATGTACTATATGTAATATTTTCTTGTAAAATCCAGTCAATTTAATGCTGCCTCATACTTGAAGCCTGTATAAAGACCAAACCACCCTCTTTATCGTCTCAGTACAACCTTGTTTCTGAACTGACAAGTTTTTAGAAATAAAATAATTTAAATTTTTTTGAATGGACATCAATTATTTTAATATACATGTAGCACAATGTGTGTCAGTGTAGGACTTTCCATGACCCTTAAGCTTTTAGAATAAGACACAAATACTTCTTAGTTAATTTTATTTGCTTCAGCCACCCTGTGCACAGCAACATGTTGACTAAATCCAATAATTTAAATATTTTCTTTAACAAAAAAAATAAACATTATTTTCATCAATGTCTCACTATACAGAAACACTATTATATTAGTATATACATTGCGGTGGTGCAAAGAGAATTCTTCACTTGAGTTCCCAATCAATATCGTCACTTTCAATACTTTCTTCAGCCATGTATGGATCACCTGACAGAACTTCTGGAAATAGGATAAAATAGGATAGGCTTAACATTGCAATTACATTCACAAATGTTGAGAGTTGCACCGACCTTGCACATGATTAGCTATCTCTCCAAAACTGGTGTCTTGGAGTAGGTGCCTCATTTTACATGATGGAATTTCTCCCTGGCTTATATCTTTCATAAAATTTTCTCCATCACTTAAAGTTTGAGATCCATCAGGTGGAGCTCGTTCAGAACACAACTTGCGTCCTCCACAGACACAAAATTCTCCTTCACTGCAGCTGCAGCTGCAGCTGCCACATGCACTGTTCCTTAATTCACCTTCAGAAAGAGACACCTGAAGAGATAAAGAATGAAACATGAAGATTCAGTTAAGAATTGTGAGCTGAAAATGTTTATGTGGAAAGATATCAAATAATACGCACCATAGCACTGCTCTGTTGAAAATGGGATGAGGAAGATGATGATGATGATGATTTTGAATTTTGGCGTTCCCTGTGTCCTTGCCTTGGTAATATTCCCATACTACTATATTTCAATAGCTCTGCTGTCAAATCCCCAGAAGGTTGCAAAGATTTCTGCCAAGAGCTACTGACAAACCTTTGATTTATTGGTTCCGGCTTCTTACTTAATAGTTCCATAGAAGATGTTAATAGCGGTTCAAATTCTTTTGCCTCTATATGAAATTTGTTCTTCTCTGGACTTGTTTGTACCATTATGTCTTTGGTTGGAACTTTCATTTCAGCATTACTTCTTGTATTGGTAATTGAATTCTTCTCCTCCATTGATACATGCTTTTCTCCTCCATGATCAATAGGCCTGGCACATTCTAGCCTGGAATGTAATTTTATTTCATTGGCAATTCGATGAATTCTCTCATTATCCTCAATCATCTTCAGCCTCTGATCTAATTGATCTAGTGTCCTTTGCCATCGTCTTTCTATATCTGTAAGGACATCCGTGTGTAAGATTGGTAAATTTGGTTGATCTTTAGCGACCGAAGTTTCATTACTAGTTTTTTTCAATCGCTCTTCTAGCTGCCAATTAAGAAGAATAGCACTTTGTAGCTGCAAATCTTCTCTCAAACTCAAATCCTGTCGCCTAGAACTGCGAGGAGGCCTTGAGTCATTATTCACTTCAGCATCAGAACTACTGCTACATAAACTATGATGCCCAACTAGACTCCTCCTTAGAGTGGATTGATGTTGTTTCATTTTTCTACCTGAACTAGTACCAGGAGGCTTCTCTTGGCTTATTTCTGCTCCAGGGGTTTCTGAACCTTCACCTTGTCTCTCTCCCAACATTGGGCGACTATTTGATAAATACTGTGGTCTATCGTGGGTATTTCCACATTTGAGCATTTCCTCAGTTTGCTGTGTTTGCACAGAAACAGTGCCTAGTTCTCCATTCAAATTTGATGGTGAGGACTGCATTGTATGAAAAAGTGGGACTGATTGTTCTTCCTGTATTTCTTTCTTTTCCTCCTCCTGATGTGCCTTTTCCTTTTCAAGAGCTGTTGTTTGGGTTGTATTGAACTGGGAGGACTTCTGTTCAACTTTAGGGGAGTCAATAGAATATTTCTGATTTTCTGAATGAGTTACAGAGGAGGCCAATTCTTCTGCTTCAACGATAGGTGGCAAAATGGAGTCTGATAAACTTTCTCCTTCATCTGCCAAAGACATAAAAACAGGTGTCAGTGGTTTAAAGAAATAAGTGCCACACTGACCTCTGTTGTTACAAAAAATGTTAATGAAGTTGCATTTATTACCTGAATTAGATGATTTGTTGAGATTATCCTCCTCTTCCCAATCATCTTCATAGTCTTCTGCACTGACACCTCCAACAGACTTAACAGGTAAAAACACCTGCAAAGAGGTAAAAAGAAAAATGAAAATATTTATGTTTATAGTGATAATGACTTGAAAACTTTATGCAAAACATGTGGATTCTCCAGAAATCTTTCACTAAAATATTAAACTTACTGATTCTTTGCTACTACTTTTCAAGCTCTGTAAAGGTGAATTCCAGTCTCTCATTTCTTTGGATGGGATGCTTTCAGTGCTATGTTCTCTCAAGCTGTTTGCATTTATTTCTGCATTTTCATGCAATTCAAGCTCCCTATTTGAGCCACTTGATGTGCTGTAAGACTCCATTAAATCTTGTGGTTCAAGCTTTGACTGCTTCAAATCTGTTTCTTTCACCCTAAAATTTGGAGAGTAATTAAATAGAACACGAGAAAGAGTTGGGGAAAACAAATACGAATGAACAAAGCTTAAAAAATACAAAAATTGGGAAAGAAGAAAGATACTTACTGGGTCCCTTGTCTCAAGGGTCCAATCAACAGGTGGTTCTCAGCAAATGTTTGAGCTTTCTCAATTTCTCTCTTATGTTTTGCAACCTCCTTTTTTCTGCGCACTGTAGCACGCTTGCGAGCCAACATTGACTGGTCTGCTGCTCTCTTATATGTTTCAAGAAAGCGAGATAGGCTGTCATATGCGATAGGATACTGACTACTGTCAGAGCTCGACGTAGTGTGTGATTTGTCTTGCTGGTCACACACTTTATTATGAGAGTCCGTTGGAGACTTTGTTGCTCTAAAAGAAACATTTCAATTTTTAAAATAAAGGAAGAGATAACGTGAAAGATTAATATTTTTAAATTTACCTTTCAGTAGGTGTAGAATTGCAGACACGAGACAGAAGGAAACTGCAAGAGAAAAGATAATACAAAAATAAAGATGAAAAATGTAAATTAGGTATTGGTTATTGTTCAGAAGCAAGTGGTTTCACTTAAAGAAATACAAACCGTAACACATGATTTACTTGAGCTTGATTCACCTCCCGCAATTCTTCAACCTCTGCTAATTGTCTTGAAAGCTGAACAACAGCACTTTCTTCATCTGAAAAAATGCTCGATAAAAACTGAAGCAGGTATAAACAAGGCTAGCATAAAAAGTTTTATAAATACCAGTAACTTTAGAGGTGGCGGTGTTGGCACTTTGATGTTCCACAGAAAACTTCTTTGGCACCTTTGGAGCACTTCTGTCTTGAGAATCTGCCAGAGGGTGGGTAAAAAATGATTTAAAGAAATACAAACAAAAAAGACTCAGAGATACAAATTTACTTGTTGTTTTTACCTCCACTTCGCTCTTTATAGTCATCATACTTCATATTGCAAACAAAAACATTTGACAGGGCTGTTTTCTCTCCTGGCAGTATTTGTATTGAAGGAATAGATTGCTTCTCTAGACCTTGTTTGATGGAAATGGAAGGAAGTAATGTTTGTCCCAATCTTAAAATAAAAACACAATGAGATTACATTTTATTTTTCAAATTGAACAAGAAGTGTCTGAATTTAGTGATGTCAAGAAAAGTAACCTACCTTTGTTTTGGAGCAACTATCTTTCCGTCAGAGTGACTCTTAACTTCAAAAATTCCTATATTCCTTGCCTGAAGCTTTGGCATTGGTCTACTGTGAACAGACGACGCTGACACATGATGGTCCAAAGACGCTGTAACATTGCGTGCGACAGCTAATGCATCTTGAACCTTCGCCCTTGCAGTTAGAACAACCTGCTCTGGAAATATATTTCAAAAGTTTGTCATTAATTAAATACAGTTCTTAACATTCAAATGGAGCTAAGATGATAATTAAGTGATGCATACCTGCAGTACTTGAGCTCCACTTGGGATCAACATTTTTCCATTGTTTGGACAGTGAATGTAAATTAGAAATATTTTGTGCTCGCTGCTGTGCAGCTGAATGGTCATTAAGTTTGGAGTTGGATTTAGATTGACTAGTAGATGCATTTAAATTTGTATGCTGTCGACAATGACCATCCTCTCTAGCTGATGCTGGCTTCAATTTGCGTTGTTCCTTGGCAACGCCTTCTTTATGAGACTGTGGGTTGACTGATGTTGGCTCTGATATGCTCTGTGTGAAGACCATCGAAATTAACTCAGGCCATTCTCCAAATCTTTTCAAACAATATTGGCATGACACCTACCATTAGCTCTTTTTCTAAGGCATGCATTTTTTTGTTCACCTCCGATTTAAGTTTTTCAGCTTGTTCTGATAGATGTTGGCTGAAAGTTGAAATACTAATTATAATCGACAGGTGGTTTAGCACGAAAAAGATTTATGGCACTTGTTCTTGTTTACAAAATACAACACAATAAGCAGACTATAGAGAAATTCAACAAAACAATTGATAAATGTACTAGTGGCACGGCATTGTAACCACATCGAACCACATACCCTGAAATTGTCTGGTCTTTCAGACCAGCTTCCATCCTTCGGAGTGTGTTGTGAGTTTCCTCAATGAGACGCTCGGCTTCCTGGACAGCCTCCTCATCCTCCATCGGCCACAGCCATTCTGGCAAGGCAGCTGAATCCACATACGAAAACGTTAAAAGACTAGCAAACGACTTCGAAGCCTTTCACTCAAAGTCAGTCTATAACCTCTTCCAGAAGAGATGACAGAACGGTGAAAGAACGGCTTTACTTACACATCGTGTGAATGGCAAAATTACATCAGTGAATGTCTTAAAGACGGACACAAGATGTACGTTAAGGTGTTAAGGCACAGCGGGAAGTACAGAGATTACTTGTCAAACGAAACGAAACAACGAAGTAAACAAATCCGTACTCCGATTCAAATTTCATAACAAACAACCACTGAGAGGGGTACCAACTGTACGCAAGCAAAAGCACTAGCACTGACATGAGTGCCAACCTCAGAAGAATCGAAGGAGCGAAATCATCTTTCTTCCGCTTGACGAGTTCCATTCAGGACACTTTTTTCAAATTCCTCGCGTCCACAGAAAATTTTGCGGCCGTCTGTAGCTTTCGGTGCCTTTTTTGTTGAGTGCCCCCTCCCTCCCTCCCCCCTCTCCATCCCGGTTCCTGGTGCACGATGGGATGCCAACCAGCAGGCGCTATGTTGCCCTGCTTCTGCTCTACTGTTATCTTTCAGCCAACTACCCATCTATCTCATCCAAGTATTCAATCGCATTCATCCTTCGCTAACAGGTTTTGCCAAACCCTCCAGCTCACACACAAGACTCGGCAAGGCCAGGCAAGGCCCACACGCACACCCCTACGCGCCGATCCATGGCCAGTCCCAGGTGAGGCAGGAGGCAGGTAGAGCCACCCTCAACCATCTTAAAGTTCGGTCCCTACTGACCCACATTCCCTGGCCCACCCGATGCAGCCGTGGTGCAGCCCCGCCCCCTGACCCACACACGGCTCCCGGGCTCGCTCAAACAAGGGCACCACGGTCGTTTATCAAACGATTCGCACAAAAAAAGGGGGGATTCCCTGCTTATCTTCGTTTTTTTAGGATGACGAAGAGATCACGAAATTGCTATTCGCATGGGTTTCGCGCCAGGGAGTGATCGTCAATGTGATACACCGGCGTCCCTTTTTTTGATGAAGGGAGGCATTCCTCGACCGACAGTCGACTGATTCCGAGGGCCGCCTTCGTCGCTCTGTCTCTCTCGCACTCGTGGGGCGCCCCGTATAGGTGCGAGAGAGACAGAGCGACGAAGGCGGCCCTCGGAATCAGGCGACAGACAGAGAGCAGAGACGCCCAAGTCCAGCTTCGCCTTCCTCGGCAGAGTCCAACAGGGCCCGCGCCCGCACGTCCGTCAGTGTGCTTGTTGTGGATGAGCGTTGTTTCGCTCGGCGCAAAACTCAAGCTTTCCAGGGAGTCCGGCCCGGAGACCCTCGCCACGCCGGGCTGCCCAAGAGGCACACCGATTTTATTGGTATTTCACGCGGAAATGAATGGCTACTGGGTGGCTCGTCGTCGCCCTGTGTGTGTGCGTGTGTGTGCGTGCACGTGTGCCGCCTCCTTTCCCCGTGGCCGCTGGCCGGGCGGCAACGGGCGGCAAGGACGAGTGACAGTGAGAGTAAGACTTACGGTAATCGCCTCACACACCCCAGGGACTCCCAATGAGGCGGCGCACCCGGCCGTCGCACAGTGAGGGGGGAGGGGGGCCACCGCGGTCAGGACGTTCATGACATGCAGACTGGGCGGAGCGCCGCCGCGTCGTCGGCGTCCTGGTCGGCGTGCTCTTTGCTTTCCGAGTGGGTGCGCGTCCCTTGAGTCCCTTGTGCTTGATTTACCGCCACCCGGAACTTTATCCTTTCACGTCGGATCGGCCCCCCGTCCGTCCGAGCCGCCGCCGCCGCCGTCCTGGCGTCCTGCTGCAGGAGGTCTTGGAGGTCCTCGAGGCGGCGCGCAGCGGAGCGGCGAGCGGCGCCGGGAGTGTCGGCGGCAGGGCGGCACCAAGGCGGCACGCGGCAGGGCGGCCCACCCGCTGACACACTGACCGCACGGGGACGGGGACCGACGGGGACCTGCGGGGACAGGCACGGGGGTGTTTGCCGATTCCGGCAAACTTGTCCCGCTGTTCCGCCGTTTTCCCCGCACCGCGCGGGAAGGCAGAAGGTGCAGAAGGCCGTATGGGCGGGCCGCGCAGAGGCAGTTACCGCGGTTCGGTTCGGTTGGCGGTGCCCCGCGCCTGCCTGCGCCGCGCCGCGCCTCGCGCCCGCCTTATGCGGCAGTACCGTCGGCCGTTGGCGGGGCGGAGCAGGGCGGAGGCTGCTTCGCGCAGAGAAAGTAACGCCGAGAGGGTCCCTCGGGTCGAGCCGAGCAGAGCCGAGCAGAGAGCCGAGCAGAGAGCCGAGCAGAGAGCCGAGCAGAGAGCCGAGCAGAGAGCCGAGCAGAGAGCCGAGCAGACGAGCAGAGAGCGCCGAGCAGAGAGCGACGAGCAGAGAGCGCCGAGCAGAGGGCGCCGAGCAGAGCCGAGCAGAGCCGAGCCGGGGCCGATCGCAGCACGCTTGCTACTTGATTACCGCATCGAAGTGTGCTCTGCCTCTGCCATGTGTAGAGTGCAGAGTAATGAAATACGTGAGCACCGCGGCGCCGGAGGACAGGCTGTAAGGCACCCCGGCAGGCGCCTTCGTCGACATCCCCGCACTCGCTGCCCGCGTGGCCGTGCGCGCTGCAGCACCGGACCCACGACGGCGAGGTCCGTGGTTCGATACCGCAACGCTGCCTTCTTTATTTCACCCAGCAAGGCTCTATAAAATGAGGGAAACGAAAAAGAGGCAGTTAGGTGGGCAGCCATCGAAAGACGTACGTGCGCGCGTACGTGCCAAGGTACCGATTCGAGCCATTGTTTGATTCGAAAGCCGCGGCGTTGAGGCGTACAGTATTCCCGGATCACGCCGAACAACGAGACGAGCAAGACGGGGCAGTCGGCTCAGTTATTACCCGTGCGGGTCATACGTACTTCGGCCATGAAACATTATTTTATGGGTCGTCACTTTTAACGACGAGCCAAGCCGTTGCGCGGCCGCCAGCTTGCCAGCTTGCCAGCTTCCTAATTTCGTTTCGTTTTTGTCCCGATGCCCACGTTGCTGGCCGGGCCGCGCGCTTTAGAGCGTCCGGGCGTCAGCTGCGAGGCCTGCCCTTCCTGCCCGTATGCAAATGCGGTTTGAGTCAGGGAGGAAGGTGGCCGCCAAGGCAGGCACTGCCCTGGCAGCCACCAACACCTCCAGCCCGCCCAAATCAGGACCACGCGTTCATTTTCGGTGAAAGTGGTGATGTCGGCCGCGGCTTCTGTGCGCTGCCGAACGCGAAGAAGGGCATGCAGCACGTCATGTTCCAGGTAACGAGACGCGGGGCGGCGCGGGGCGTGGCCCACATGGCACTCGGTGGTTAGGGCCACTTCCGGCGCCGCGTCCACGCCGTGCACCACGCCGTGCACCACGCAGTGCACGCAGGCTCACGGAGGCCCCGCGGGCCGCACTCTGCGGCTCTGCCTCGACCGGCGTGCGTGCGGCGTGCGTGCAGTATTACTCCAAGGTGCGGCCGCCGGGCGCAGACATCGAGGAGAAGCTAGGCGCCGGCGGCGCGGTGCGTGGCGTCTAGTGGCGCCTAGTGGCGTCTAGCCGAGTCCGGAAGTAAGACGGTTGTACCCGCAGCAACCCGCGCGCACCGCCCCCTCCTCCGCGCACGCCGCACGCCTCGCGCCGTGACCACGCCACGCGGGCCACGCAATACTACACCATCACGGGCGTGCCTCGTGCCGCACGCCGAGCTGGCTGGCTGGCCGGACTATCGCGTTTCGTATCTCGGCGCGCGCGCACGCCAGCAGGCCGCCTCCGAACGGCGCTTCGTCGTCCTGCCTCTCCCGCACCTCCTCTAGGACGCCCCACGAGTGCGAGAGAGACAGAGCGACGGGAGCGATGTTCGGAATCTGGAGCCACGGACAAACGTGTCGCGGCTCGCGGCGAGGAGCTGCGACAGGAACGGGGACCGCGGGGACGGGCTGGGCAGGGAGGGCGGAGAAGGCTGCCGCCGCTGCGCCGCTGCCATGGGCTGCCATGGACCGATTAGCCAGTCGCTGTCAAAAAGAAAGGCCGGTGGACGAGAGGCCGCCCTGGCCGCGCTGTGTGGTAAGACAGGTAAGTGAAGTGTCGAGGGCGCAATCCGTCTCGTCGCCCAGCCGGGCCCAGCCGGGCTGCATCGTGACTGTGGCCACCGCGGCCGCCAAGACCAATGTCACCGTGACACCCAGCCGCCAAGCCCCGAGCAGCCCCGTGGCTCCCGAACAGGGCTCCCCGTTGTCGCGCCCTGGGCGTCCTGGACCTGGAAGGCCTGGAAGGCCGCCCACTCGTCCTTCCCGAGGCGTTGCAGAGTTGCAGAGTTGCAGTGCAGGGCGCTAAGGGCCGCGCTGCTGCCGCGCTCCAGATGCGTACTCTTGCGTCATCGGGGCCGAACATCCCCTGGCTAGCCCAGCCCGCTGCCGAGAAAGCCATTTCTCCCCCCTCCCTCTGCCTAGGGCCTAGGCAGCGCGTGGCAGCGCGTGGCAGCGCGTGGCCCGTGGCGCGGAGAGGGGATGGCACCCGAGTGAGGAGTGCGCGCACACGCAAGTCATGGCAGCGCCGCGGCTATCGTGTTGAATTTGAATGCGAGTGTTAACTGAATACACCTGATTAATAATGTAGCTTTCCAAACAGCGCAAAAAATAAAACGAGTGGCAAGGCCCGCGGAGGGCCTAGGCCTGCAGGTGGTCAGTTACTGCGGGCGAGTTTTGTGTGGCTGCGGTGTCGTCTTTCTTTGGAACACGACGTGCAGTCGCTCCCTCCTGTCTGCGGGTATCGGTGACAGCAATACTCAATGACCCTTTCAGTCGTCGCCGTGTGAAAACAATAGCAATCAAAAAGCAGGAACCACTTGCGCGCCACCTAGCGGCGACTGTTGTGAACCTCGTCCAGACTTACGCTTGTGACCAATGAGGATTCAGCTTTGAACAGTTAGATGGCGCGCTGCTGGTTCCAGAATTTTTGATTACCTTTGTTCTTCACACGGCGATAACTGAAAGGGTCTAAACTTCATTTCCACCTTTTCCCGTTCCTTTATTACGGCTGTCTCAATGGCCACCAGGAGCCTGCGCGGTCCAATCAGTGGCGACGCTCGTCCACGTGCCCCGACAACACGGCGCACGCCCACCGTTGAGTAGTCCACCCGCCAGTCAAGCGATTTCGGTCGCCCTGTCCCTCTCGCACTCCGACGGGACGCCCCACGAGTGCGAGAGGGGCAGGGCGATGAGACGACTCTTTGAAATCAGTCCACCAAGCAAGACCGCGCGGCACGCCCCCTTTCTCCCGCCAGCCCAACGAGTGTATCGATCGAGGCATCAATCGAGGCATCGATCGAGGTATCGATGAGCAAACAATAACGCCGTCGCGCGTCGCTCTGTCTCTCTCCCACGGACACGGGACGCGCCATGAGCGCGAGAGAGACAGAGCGACGAAAACGACTCTCGGAATCAGTCTGCTGGGCCCGGGCGGCGCGGCGCGGCGTTGGCGGTGCGATAATACCGGTCATAATTATCGCGGCATTGCTGCGTAATCCGTTCCGCCTCCACCACGTCCACGTGATCGCGGCGCAGCGGCAAGCGGCAACCGCGAAGCAGAAGCAGCCGAGGAAGCGGCGCGGAGCAGGGGCCGGGCGGGGCGGGCGGGCTGTTGACGTCCGAATAACACTCGACGCCCGGCCGGAGGGCTGCCCGGGATGCCGGGCCGTTTAGCGTGCAGGGCCCTGGGGCGTAAGTATACGTAACGACCCATTGAATGGTTGTTGGTGAGGAGTCTTGAAGGTCTCATAAATATGGCGGAAAAATATTAAATTTTGAGTGTCAGTTGCTGTATCTATCCGGCATTGTGCATCATCATCATCATCATCATCGCTGTTGGGCCTTGTGTGCGTGCAACAAATTAGGTTCTGAATGATATTTGTTGGAAAATGGAATGAACGTGCATCTTTAGGAGAGTAGTTACTGTATGTGTGCTAACGAAGGGCAATCGCCATTTCGAATTTCCGGCTTGATGCGATTGGAGGACAGAGGCAGGCAGGACAGGGAGGAAGCTCAGACGGGGACGAAAGGAAGGAGAGAGACAAGAAGCACGAAAAAGAAAGTGAGACTGACTGGGCGCCTGGACGGCCGGCGTGGCGGTGCGGCGTGGCGGTGCGGCGGTGGAGCGGTGGTGGGGTTAGACACGCCACGCTGCACGGCCCTTGGTGGGGTAAGCGGCAAAGCGGGGTAAAGGCCTGGTGGGGTAAAGGCCTGGGCCAGCGGGACGGCCAGGGCTGGCAGCCTCGGAAGGGACTGCCGGACAGCCCGGCAGGCAGGCAGACAGCAACAACTCGTTGCTGCTGCAGCAGAAGCGGGGCGGCGCGGCGGTGGTGGCGGCGCAGGCCCTGCCCGTGGAGGGGGCAGCGGGGGCAGCGGGGGCCTGCCTTTCTCTGGCTCTGGCGGGCCAGCCGGCCCAGCAAGCAGGCAGCCCCCAGTCGCCGGGTGATACTCGTGGGGTGCCGAGCCGAGCCGAAGTCGGGACCGCCCCTGGCTGCCGTGCACTGCCGTGCGCTGCCGAACCGCACCGAAGCGATCGGGTCGCGCGGGGAAGTGCCTTCCAGTGACAGTGCCGGGACTTGACTTGGATTAACAACCTGGATAAGCAACGCCACTCCGTCGCAGCGCCCACCCCAGTGCCACCCCCGACCACCCCCGACCGCCACAGCAACCCCCAGCAACCCCCGGCCCACCTCCGCCCCCTCTCCGACCCTCAGCGTGGACGCCTCCGGTAGCCCACCCTCGCCATGTGGACTTGTTGACGACCAAAGACCAGGAGCCCCGATGCGTCCAGCCGCGATCGTCCACCCGTCGCCCCCGCACCCCTTCGCCCCCGCCCACCCCCGCCCTCCCCCCACCCCCTGCAATGAATGGCAGAGGCTGTGACGCCCTGCCCGCCCTGCGCGCCCCGCGGCCCCTGGGGGTCCGATGGTTCAGGTGAGTCGGAATCTGGGAGTTGGCAGCAAATCTGGATTAAACACGCCGTCTCGGTGGCGGGGCACTGCCGGCGCTGCCCCTGCCGCCCGCGGACCGCGGACTCAGGTAATGATGAATAGTCTCCGCTTGGGACGAACCGAGCCGCGAGTGCACGAGTCATTTCGCTCCAAAATCGCGTCTCAGTCGACCAGCGGCCGCCAGGCAGTTCTAGCGCGATGTGCCGCAAAAAAGGGGCACGGCGCCGCACGCCGCGGCGGCATCACGTCATCATAACGTAACACAAAGACAGGTTACAAGTCTTAATAGTTCCGCTAGGCGGTCGCGCAGGCCGAGCGACGCGCGGGGCAGAGAGAGGGGGATACGTCTTCCAGACACGTGACCGGGGGGGGGATTGTCATCAAGTGTAGCGTGCTCGTCGGGGCGTGACAATCACCACACAGCAACCACCGTGATGCATGTTCGTCCAAACACAGGCCGTCTTAGCAGCTCTCGTGTGCCTCGCGCGTCGCAGTCTCCCCCTTGTTGGTGGCGTCTCATTGGCTCAGCCGCAGCCGAGTGACGTCACGTTGTTGCTTCCTATCGTTGGTCGACTGTCGTCCTTCGTGCGCAGTTCTGACAATCTGATCGAGAACGCGTAAGTCGCAGTCTCTGTCCACTTTCAAAGAAGCCGGTTTGTTTTAATTGTTGCAACGGATCTGAGGGTCACCTGACAAAGAAAGACGACTTGATTTGGAAATGACACCGCTATCTGGATGGAAGATGAGATGGCGGTGGCTGGTGTGGACACTGTGAAGACACGCCAACGCAAGCGCGGCGCCGTGGCGGCATGGTGGCGGCGCCGTGGCGGCGCGCGCCAAAAGTCGGTGTATCTTTCCTCGATCGGCCTATTGCACTCACGACAAAGGCGGCCAAAAAAACCGGCGGCCTGGGGGCAGCAACACCTCTGACTCGGCGGATCCTTGGACGGCCCGAGCGCGACGCGGGCGAAGCAGGCGAAGCAGGCGAAGCGGGCCGAGCCCAAGATTGCGGGGTCCGGGACTCTTTTGGCGCGCGTCTTGGCCGTCCCGGTGTAGCCGCGGTGCAGCACAGTCGGTCATCGCGAGTCCTGCAAGGTCTGAACGCCTAGAGTCCTTAAGTGTCTTGAGGACCCAAGGACTTAACACTTAAGGACTCTATGAACGCCGATCCCGCGGCCGCCACGCCCCCTGCTAGGTATATGGGCTAAACGCAGGCGCCTGCCTCGCCGCCGGAAGACTCTGCAGTGCCAAAGGAGCGGAGTGTCGGCGCCCTTCGCCAGGACGGTGCGAGGAAGGCGAAGCACCGCGAAGCACCGCGAAGCACCGCGAAGCACCGCAAAGCACAGAAACATAGAGGCAGACCGCGGCTTGATTATTCCCGAAAGCCCGCTTGTGTAATTTCGAGCCACTCCCTCCTAAAATAGCATTTCCAGCTTTTACCGCATCCTTCCTGTTGACAGCCCCGCCCCGCCACGCCCCGCCCCGCCACGCTCCGCCTCGCGTCGGGAAGCGGGGCCGAACCGGTTCCCTGATGATTCAAAACAGAAGTCGGATCCGACTGGGCCGGCGGGGCGGGGCGGGGCGGGCGGGGCGGGGGGGCGGGGCGGGCGGGCGGGGCGGGGCGGCCAGTGACGAGCCTTGTGATCTCATCGAAGAGGCAAGTAAGCGAAGCAAGGGCCCGGCCGGCTGGGCTGCCCCTTACATAGCCTGCTCGCCTGACCGCTTCACGTGTGAGGCTGACCGCGGTCGCCCCCCGCCCCCCCCCTTTTCCTGCCACGCCCATGACGCAACGGGCATGTCGTGTGCCCCGTCACGCCTCGCCCCTCACCCCCTCTGCCCCTCTCTCTCTCTCTCTCTCTCTCTCTCTCTCTCTCTCTCTCTCTCTCTCTCTCTCTCTCTCTCTCTCTCTCTCTCTCTCTCTCTCTCCGGCGGTGCGGCGGCGCCGAGTCCGCGACCGTCGCTTTGCCGCGCTTTGCAGTGTAGTGTCAGACGACGAACAGCTGTCCGCCCGCAGCCCCGCTGCCCCGCTTCCCCGCCCCTCCCTCTCAGCGAAAGTGACGCTCTTGCGGGGAGGGGCGGCGGCGCGGCCTGGCGGCGTTGGCGTTCTGCTTTGGATCCGTTTTCCGGATCAAACTTATTGGAGCAGCGTGTCAGCCAGGCGGCCGGCTGGACCGAGGGCTGGACCGCGGCGCGCTCCCGCTGCTTCCTTCCGCGTGGCGGTCGCCTGTCGCCTGCTGGACTTTCTCGATGGAGCAGAGCGAGCAGAGCGAGCAGTCTCAGCGTCTTGCCCTTGTCGGCAATCAACTCCTGTCTATGGAATCCATTTCCCGTTGTCTCTCGCGTTGTCCCCACCGCAAATGCCGCCATACGCGCAAGCGTTGTGCTGAAGAGAGCGGCCCAAAGGCGTCGTCCGCTTCAACAGTTCGTCGTGCTGGTCGCCGCACTGGTGACTCCGAACGCCGCCGGCGTGGACGCGTGCTACTAGTGCCCGCGGTGAGGTCACATTGGGGAGAGAAGGCGGGAAACGGATTGGCCGGCGCCGCCAGCGCTGGGTAATCGCAGTGGGACCGTTATAAATGTTATTGTGGTGAAAGGTATCGGCGTGCGGCCTGGCGGGGCGGGCGGGGCGGGGCGGGGCGGGGCGGGGCGGGGCGGGGCGGGCGGGCGGGGCGGGGCGGGGCGGGGCGGGGGGGCGGGGCGGGCGGGGCGGGGGCGGGCGGGGCGGGGCGGGGCGGGGCGGGGCCGCGGCTCGGCATCGCCGCGCGCCACGCCGCGCCAAGTCCGGCCAGCTCCAGGCCAGACAATGGGGGTGCTGCCTTGCTGCCCCGACGCGGCCAGGCCGAGCCATGGCCGAGGAAGTCCCGAAGCCAAGCCTTTCCTTTCCGCCGCCATGAAAAGCAAAAGCACGCTCCTAAAAGTCGAGTGTCACGGCGGTGGCGGTCACGGTGTCCTCGCGGACCTCGGGGACGGAGACGGAGGTGGCCCACGTCGCCCGGGACGGCGACTACCGCCGGGAGCCAGGCATTGAAATGCTAGTTAAAAGCTGCTGGAGCCTGCTCGCGGCCCGCACGGCGAAGGCACGGCGAACGCACTTGGACGCACTTCCGTCCCGGTGCTGGACTGGCTGCGGCTCGCGGCACGTCGCGGGCCTCGATGTCCAGGGCTTCCAGGAGCTGGCCGGCCGGTCCAGCCGCCTCACGTCCATTCCAGTGGCGCTAACAAGGCGGTGACGGCAAGCGGCCCGGACGGGCTCGGCCAGGACTGCAGGCCTGGGGCAGCCAATGGAATCCTCAATAACGTACGCCATCGCCAGCCCAGCCAGCCCCGCCAGTCTCCAGCAACGACATCGACGCGCTGTGTACGCGCTGTGCGCTCACATCCTACACTGCCAAGCACCGAGTGCACCGAGCGGGGCCTGAGCTCGGTCGCAGGGGCAGCAGGGGCTGTCCTCTGACTACTCGTGCTTGGTGACGATGAGGACGGCCTCTGAGGACTGCACCGCCTGCGCCTTGGGCGAGGCGCCAGCACGATGAATACAACGAAAATAATTCAGATGTGTTTGGGACTTTTTCACACCGCGGTTGGAAAGGTGTCGGAATATAAATAACTAAAAGCGTAAGGATCAGCGCGGAGCGTGATACGGATTCCCAAAGTTGCTTTTTCGCTCTGCTGATCGCGACTGCGGTTTTTTCGTGCTTTTTTTTCTCGCGCAACTGTTACCGTTACGCTTGCGGCGTGTGTGGTTACGTATGAGGAAAGCCCTCGAATGCAGATCGGGCTGCTGGCGGCCTGCTGGCCTCCTGAAAGGCCGTTGTTGTCGGCCCATTCGTCCCAACATGGGCTGCCGGGTCGGGGTTGTCGGGGGCGTCGAACTAGAGTGGCGCTGTGCCACTGCACTGGAGGACTCGGTGGGGCGGCGCCGGGCAGCACACTGCGTGGTACTCGGAGTGGCACACGCCCCCCGCCGGTAACTCGCTTGTGCCTCGTGTAAGAGTGTGTGTGTGTGTAGGTGTGTGTGTAGGTGTGTTATTAGACGTTGTAGTATTTTGACTGCGCGCGCCGCGGCGCCTCTACTGACTTTTGCAACTGCTCACTTTCACTGAGGCCGGCGCATGCGCAGTGATATAAGGGGTGACGCCGTGCCGCGCCGTGCCGCGCCGTGCCGCGCCGTGCCACGCCGTGCCACGCCCTGCCCGTAGGCCGCGGGCCATCCTCGCGCGGCGGCCGAAAGCAGGCACTAGTTCCAGGTTCGATTCCCCCTCGGTGCCGGGCCTTTTTCTCGCTCACGGGGGGCGCAACGCGACCCAGTTAGCCAGTTGGCTCCGCTGTGTGCACGACGTCATGCACTGATGACGGCCACCGATTGGTTACTGCTTTTTAACTGGGCCCTCCGCTCGGGGCCCGCGGCTCGGGCCGTGGCGGTGGTCGCGGACGGCGTTGGCGCACCGCAAGAGCTCTCCCAGGACCGATGCAAAGTCGAAAAGGCGCGGCTTCTGGCTTCCCGGAAACGCGAAGGCAACGCGCTCGACCTTCACGTGCGCAACTTTGGCGAGGCGCGGAGCAGAGCGGAGCGTGGAATGGACGCGGATCGACCGATTTCTCTCGAGGGCCGGACTACGCCGGGCAGGCCGGCAGGGACCCCGGCCCGGTCCAGAGTCCAGGGAAGGCAGGCCCTTTGCGCCCCCTGGGTCACGGGAGAACGGACGCCGGGCGGCCCGCGCCGCCGGGCAGGCCCTGCAGCAGCACTCGACACAGAAAGCGGTGAAGACGGACATGAAGTGCCAGGGCGGTGTGGCAACGGGTGCAGCAGGACAGGTACGGCTGTTCCGCGTCTCGCGTGGCGCAACTCGACCAACGAACGCGGCGACCGGCGGACACACTGTCGGTGGCGTGCGCCGCGGCGCGACGTGGAGTGGACACAGCGCCGCGCAGTGCTCGCAGTGCTGCCCCCTGGGCACTTCGGCCACTTCCAGCTCGCCAGCA